CGAGACCACGGGCGCCGAGACCAACGGCACGGAGATGGCGCTGCTGGGAGACGAGGACGATGATGAGGTCCCCACGACGAACGGCTTCATTGGCGACTCGGATGAGGACGACGATGATGAGGAGCCCGCGGTGGAGGACGACATGAGCGATGCGGAGGAGGTCGATGACGACGAGGAGGTTGACTACGACGATGTTGAGGAGTCTGATGACGATGACGACAGCGATGCGGAGGCCGCGCCGCCGGCCAAGGTTCAGAAAACTGCTTCTTCTTTCGCGAAGAGAAAATGAGAAGGGTGTCGCGATGCATAGAGGAGGGGGGTAGAACGGCACATAGACTTGGCTCGGTCGACAATTGACATAATATTGTGCAATAGGGCGAAAAAGCTGGTTGTAGGAGTTTCGGTAAATCAATTGGTTATCTGGTGAACTGTTTGTAGACAATGAGTTTCGAGTGATGTTTGCGTGACTGTTTGCACTTCACCCCTTGGCAACCGAAGACACCTCCTTGCCTTGAGGAAACCCCAATTGAGTCCTCAGCAAACTGTTCTACCAACACCTCCCCATGACGTCCCATCTCCGATGTTGGTCTCTGCGCGCCTGCAAGTCCGCCGTGTTTCCGGTCTGCCACACCGATATCCCGGCTCACCGGATCCAAAGAGTCTCCACATTCCCGTTTTGGGACACGGAGGCACCAACCTCCATGGTCCAGATCCACCGGCGATCCCCTCTACAACCACGTTCCCGCCAACCAGGCGCGCAAAATGCAACCTCAATCAACTCAATTGGCCTTCTGACCAGTGAGGGGAACCTGAGATCATGATCTTGGAGAAGCTTGTCGATATTTTAGCGCGGCCGGGGTAGCTCTCACCAACATAAAATGCGTCTTCAGCCCCCGTCTTCTCACCTTCATCTCGGTGCTCTCCTGGCCTCCTCACTTTGGCTCTGAATTCCTTCAAAGTGCCCCTCTCAGAAACCACAAGATGCGCTCAATCCTCCTCACCTGGGCCGCCGCCCTCCCCCTCGCAACAGCAGCATCCCTCCAACAAATAACCTCCTTCGGCCCCAATCCAACCAACGTCTCCTTCTACCTCTACGTCCCCGACTCCCTCATCCCCAGCGCGCCCCTCCTCGTCTTCCCACACTGGTGCCACGGCACTGCCCAGGATGCCTTCAACAACAAGCCCTGGCGCTCCCTCGCGGACACCCTCGGCTTCGTCACAATCTACCCGTCCACGCCCTGGACCGCCGACTACTGCTGGGACGTCTCCTCCCCGCAGACGCTCTCCCACGACGGCGGCGGCGACTCCCTCGGCATCGTGAGCATGGTCCGCTGGACGCTCGAAAACTACGACGTCGACCCGGACCGCGTCTTCGCGCTGGGCACGAGCTCAGGGGCCATGATGACGAACGTGCTGGTCGGGGCGTACCCCGATGTGTTTGCGGCCGGCGCGGCGTTTGCGGGGGTGCCGTTTGGGTGCTATGCCGCGGACGGGTATGATGTCTGGTCTGATGATTGTGCGAGCGGGCGGATTACGCATACCGGGGAGGAGTGGGCGGAGATAGTGAGAGCGGCGTATCCGGGTTACGAGGGCCCGAGGCCGAAGATGCAGGTGTTGCATGGGGATGTGGATAATGTGCTGAATGTGACGAACTTTTATGAAGAGATCAAGATGTGGACTACGGTGCTAGGTGTTAGTCAGACGCCGACGGAGGTTGTAGAGAATGATCCTGTTGCAAACTGGACGAAGAGTGTTTATGGAACGAGGGGGCTATTTGAGTCGTTTTTGGCGCATGGGGTTGATCACAATATCCCGGATCAGCCTGATGAAGTCATTCGGTTCTTTGATCTAGACTGTGTTGATGAGGAGTGCTTTTCGAGGAAGAGCTTGCCGGTGCCTGGGTCTTGTAGGAAGAGGCGAAATGGTTGGAGAAGATAAATCCAGAATACCCTCGCACAAGAAGAAGATAAGACAGATTTGACAACAATCACAAAACCTAGATGACTCTGATTGGGTAAATAGATAGCACCTGTTGGCCGAACGGCTACTTGTGGTTGACAGATGTATTTCATCACTTCCCAATAAGGCCGCGAACGTCAAGCTGATAATAGTAACACACGCATGTCAAGTGTCTTTGGCCAAGCCGCGCCACGAGGACATGATGCCGATTCTCCAGCATCATTTGAACATTTATATTGGGTATCGACAAGCACGATCCGGCCAAAAGACAACTTCGTAGATTGTCCAAGTGACTGACGGTTTTCCTAAATCATGTATGGGAGGCTTTCCTCACTTGGTAAAGTATTGATCACCAGATATCCATCTGAGGCAAGTTTCTGCAGCCTTAAAAATCCTTATCTCGGCCAGGTAGCTACCTTGCCGGTGGACAGTATTGAAGAACGGATTCAAACCGACGATTTTGTCTAAGTAGTGCTATAATAGTTCCATTCTCATCAAGAGTTTACGGTGATCAACGTCGTATGTTTTCACCTCTGCTACTAAATGGTCCATCTCACGAGTTTTTTTTGCTTCTTTCAGCGATTGAAACCTTGTGAATCTGTCTCGCGGAACTTGTTGGACCGGGCTGCCCTTCGCAGAGGATTTCACCTGTACACTCACTGAGATGCGTTTCTGCAGGCGTTTGTTGATAGCCCGACCCGACTGCCGCCTTCGTAAAATTTCTGCATGCTTTAATTGACGAAGCTATTGAGGGTATCCAAACGTTGAAAATGCCTATGGTAGCTTAGCAAACTCATCGCACATATTAACGACATCCTCTTGTTTTCCTTGTTGACCTTTTTTATCCTTTGGTGCACATGTTTAGGGGATTGACTGTCAAATGAGAGTAGTGCGTGACCCTGTCATATGTGGCTTTTTCACTAGAAAGGCTAACCGAGGCACCTCATCATGAGTTCTTAATCATGCCATCCGTAACAGAAGAGATTGTTAAACAGCTATACTAGCTTGACGACACGAGTTCCTCCCATAATTCCTAAATCATTACGCAATGCAAAATCATGGAGAAGTGAAGGATGTGAAGACCAAGAAGGGCATCCAATATACTCATCCTCTTCCTTTGGCTCTCTCTCAAGCATCTCCTGAATATTCTCGCCAGTATGAGCCGAAACGTGTCCGAGGGCTCGCAGATTAGACCAGAGTTGCCTGAGCTGCCGGTTGGTTTTGAAGAACGCATTGGTGAAGGTGGATCCTCGGCATCGAACCTTGATCCACTCACCGAGACGTGAACTTATCGTCGAGTAATTGGATGTCCAGCCGAAATTTTCGGTACTAAATTGCCAAATATTGTTTGACTGTCCCGGTTGAACGAGCCGTATCCACAGCTTTTGTTCCCTCCAAGTATGTTGTTTGAACGTGAAAACGACATAATCCATTTCCAACACCACGCCTTCCATGTCGTAGCAAAGCTTGAGATAGGTCTCCTCCAAAGACAAATCGGGGGCTGCCTTTCCGATATGTTCCGTTGCGGCAAGGTGTGCATACCGCTCAAGTAAGTCTCCGACTATTTCGGCATGGGGAAACAACAACCGAATCAACCCATCTTTGTCATTGGAGCCAGCGAAGTCGAGCTTCTCCTTGCAGAGCTCTTTGACAGCTTTCAGAGTGCTACTCAAACTTGAATGCAAGTCTGCAAGCGGAATAATTTTGTTTCGATACACGTTTCTCCGCGAAGTATAACGTTTAGAGTCGCTCGCCTTTACCTCACCAATAACTATTTGAGGGCAAGCGGCAACGAGTTGAAAAGAATTCTGGGTCCCGAAAACGGGGCGTAAAATCAGGTAGGTCAGGTTTGTCGGGTACAAGCTCGAGTTGTACACGAATAACTGCTCGCTTCCCAGAAAGTCCAGCTCGTCCAGTAAGTGGCTTGAAAAGATGTATACCCGATACATACTGTGGGGCCGAATTCTAAAGATATGATACTGGTTATGTTTGCCGATGCGGGCTGGCTGTGACTTGATGGGCATATACTGCGCGACGTTGAGGTATAGCGCCCCTGTATGGCTGCAGACTTGGTCTTCAAACTTTTCTGGTCTAAAACCCCAACTATTGTCGAGCCGGTATGTTTCGAATGTGTACCATTCTGGCACCTGCTTTCTATCAAGTTCCATGGCTCTAATTAGTTGTACGGACTCATAGCCTATAAGGTCTGAGCCCCGGAAAACGCGGCGCCACTCCTCTTGTGATCCCCATTCTGGAACCCAAGATGGACACCCATTGCGAGCTTTCGTTGCACGGGCTGCATAGAGAATTTGGTCCCAACCAAAATTCAAAAGGCAGTGAGCAAATATGCCGATGAAGACGTGTTGACACGATAAAGAGTAGTCTGCTTGTAGCTCACGGTTTCGTGTATGTGAGCACAAATCCTCTTCAACTCGGGCGATTCCTAACAAGCCGAAAACGCGATCGCGGGAGTCTGTTGCTTCAGCCTTGGAAGTCATCCCCAGAAGGCGTGTAATGTTCTTCTCAGGCTGATCAGCTCGACACATATGCCCGAACCATTCTGCAGCGCTATCGCTCCATGCCAGAGAAGTGGACGAATCCGAAATTTGGGTCGCCGTTGAACCGTCAGCCCAAACGTCGATATCCCCTATCCGGACCAAGACCTGGCAGGGCAGCAGAAGCTCTTGGATCACCCATACGCGGGAAAAGTATCGTCGTTCAAGCAAACTTGTGAGAGTCAAGGGTAACTTTGGTTGTTGATGTTCGGAGAAACTCGGCACTACCAATCCTGATTCAAGGTCGCGCAGTGGATGGCGGCGGGCATGCCTCCCATTCAACGGTGTAACAATGTCAGACCCAAGATAGGCGATGACGCGGGTACATCCAGAGTAGATCCGGCTCATATTAGCGACTTGCTGACTTCTTTCGGGCACATCTGCCTGGTTGATACAGACAGCGTCGACCCATACCATACGGATCCCCCGCCATGGCCGCATGAACTGAAGCATTTCCCAGCAATTCTTCGTTTGGAAGAAGACGTCTCAGAAAGGACCGACGTATATTGGGCAGCATAGAGTAGTATCGTCGTCTTCTCCACCCCAAAGGTAGGAAACAGCTTCATATTCGGGGCAGTCGTCCAGTTCGTAAATTTCCAAGTCCAGATGTACCGGGAACTCGTGAGACTCAGAATGGGTCAGCACGGCCAACCGTATATCTGTATGTTTGAGCGTTTGTGAATAGATGGTTGATGAACCTGGTGTGGCGGCAGTGGTAGTTGTTGCCAGGTCTGGCACCGTTTGATCGGGGGCTGAAGGGACCCGCGCCTTGGGGTTACCGCCAGTCAGGCAGTCTCCTTCGTTGCAGCTCTTGGCATTGTTGCAATAAGGTACGGAGCGAGGCCACCATAGATTCATTGAGCCGGAACGCTCATCTTCGGGGATAGTAAGAATCGAAGATGCATTCGTGGGCATCAAGGCAGCTAGATCAGGTGAATAGTCGCAGGTGCGACACTCTGGCAGCCCATTCTTAATCTCGACTTGGGGACTCAGGCAGCCCGCGTGGTGCCAGCGAGACATGATAAAGGAGCAGGTAAACCTCAACAGGTAGATGTCCTTACAGGCCTTCTAAAATTGCGAGTGTGATTCCTGTCAAGGAAAGCCCTCGAAGACATCAGCGCCTGAGATTGATTGTGTAGGTAGGCAGTGCATTTTAGGCGGGCAACTCTCCCATTGGCCAGAGGAGTAATGCATATCACACCATGCCAGGCTGCCAGAGCTATCACGTGCGATATACAGAAAGCTGCCAGCAACTTTGGAGCCGGGCATGCGAGGCAACACGACGTGTATAGGCAAAATCAATCACAGCAACTCTTTTCCATTGGTAATAATTAAGTCGAAGTCCCATCTCCAGCATTATGGTTCACCCTTCACTTCCTCTTTTGTCATGGTATTGTCCGTCCGCCAGTCATACATCCCTTTACGGGGCAGTAGCCTTGACAGAGGTGGTTGTGAAAGAAGCACAGCCCTGGCCCTGGGCAGAGACAGTAACCTGAGCCGCGTTGTCGTGGCCGTTCAAGCAAGCACCGCCAGAGGCAACGAGCTGGTTGCCCGACTGAGAGACAAACTCAATGCCGCGAGCAGCGCAGTCCTCAGCGCGGATCGCAGTGCCGTTGAAGCCGACGCAGACCTCCTTGTTAACGAGATCAGGACGGAAGCCGGCGGTGAAAGAGCGCTGGACAAGAAGGACGTTGTTGCCGTTCCTGGTGGAGGGGGTGATCTGTCTGTCGGCGGCAGTGTTGACGCAGGCAGCGTTGACGATCTCGCCTAAGTGATGTGTTAAGGACAAACATCTTGCCAAGAGTTCAATTGAGTCTGTGTTAACTTACCGTTGTTGCGGAAGGTGAGGCACTCGTTTCCGGGCACGCCACCCTGCTCCTTGAAGACGAGGGTCTGCCTGCCCTTCTGAACAGTCTGGCGCTTGGACAGGTCCTCGGTGGGCATGGCCGCGACGGCGGTGGCGAGAGCAAGAGACAGAACGGCGGAGAACTTCATGTTTGCGGCTGAAGATGGAAAATCGAAGAATCGAATATAGTGATTTAAAGTTGAAACAAGAAAGAAGGACCAGCCAAAACGAAGAGAAGGTTGTCAAAGTTGGAAGTAGAGTGAGCGAATGGGATGAGTCTCAAAACGAATGTCTCGGGTTGAGGGAGGCGTCGAGGCGCCCTTTAAATCCATCCCGTCAAAGATGGGAGGGATGAGTCGCTCTCGCCAAAGAGAGAAGATTAAGCTTGATGCGACATGAGGCGCCGCTCATCTTCCCAAACTCCCCACACAAACTTGCGACCTTAAGCGGTGACTGCTAATGTTCGTTGAGCCAGGTGAGGTGCAGGCGGCCCTAGTCCAAACAGGAGTCCAGGAGATGGCCGAACTTCTGTGACCTGTGTCAGCTTTTTCTTCGTCGCTTAACCGGCGGACAGGGGTGCTCGAGCGTATTTTTTTAAGCTCATTGCGCCCAAGTTGGGTGGCGCCCCCACCACGACGATTCGCTGAAACGTCTCAAGGTCGGTCGGTTACAGGGTTGCGCCTCCGAATCTGGGGAACACCCCTCCAAAGTGACGGTTTCATCATCGGCGTCAGGGAGCCGCATTAAGGCTGTCATCTTATGTAATGTCGGGTCGCGCGGAGTTCAGAGTATCAAAAGATTGGTTGGCAGGAGCGGGAGATGGGCCAGATTTGCGCATCGAACCAGCGATCCGAGGACCTAGGAAAGGGGTTCGTGAGAATGGCCCTGGTCTGTCTTGAGGTTTTAGGCTGTTACCGAGTGCCTCCTCGTCTCGAGTTATACGAGAATGCCTTTTTCGCTCTTTTTTCGGAAGGTGTTGTCGATGATCTGAGTCGAATGGCCAACCGACTTGGGACGAATTTGGCCAGCTTGTCGGAAAGTCTGACCGCTTGGTTTGGTGCTATCGCAGGGGTGTGGCCGGTATGATTTCCGTTACCTTTGTGAATCATTCATTCGATTGGCATCTGTCAGCCGGAGTTGTCCACGTGAGCTAGGATATTCTCCTTCGTGATTGCTTTTTAACACAAGGTCGCCTTGCAGATTTTCGGCAAGACTCTCCGTGCTCATTCTGTTGCCATAGGACTTTGAGACCGCAAAACGACTGTGTTTCCTGTATATGTCGTCGTCATTGTCTCTCGTATGGTCGCCAGTATTCTCGTTTCTGCCACTGTCGTCTCTTCCATTGCCGTTGTTTCTACTTCAACCAGCTATAATGCTATAATCCTCGAGTAAACTTCGAACACAGCAGATACACTAGTCGCGACTAACCAAGGAAGGAAGTGTATGGATAGAAACATGGGTTCGAAAGCTCAACCTCAAACTATTTCTCTCCTCTCTTCTTCCCCTCGTGTTCTTCTCTCTTATGACGAATCACATAGTCTCCCCGTTTGTAAACCTTCCCACAAAGATCACACTGGCCAGTGATTTTAGGATAGTCGACACTGATCGCCCAATTCATATGCTTCGTCCATACATGTCTCCTCTTTTCCTTTTCCTCGTCAAATTGTGATTCACAGTCATTTTTCGGGCATTTCCTGTGATGTGCCATATGCTCTCTGAACCCGCGAAAACATCAGCTCGGAACCAAACAGGTAAAGTGGTATTTGTTAGAAAGGGCAGAACTTACCGGGCATTCTCCTGACCTCTACCCCTGAACGAGCATCCTTTCCAATAGCATCGAACGCGAGTCCTTGGCTTTGAAAAATCGGCGACAGCCATGGTAGGATGTATAGGGGCGGTAGAGGTGTAAGTCAGGTCGACACACTTCGGCAGGATCTCCGTTTGCGAGTCGGTTGCTAGTCGATGCACCACAGTCTCTGTCGCGTAACTCTTCAAATCCATCTGCTCCGCTTCCTCACCCATGGGATTTGCTTCCCGGTGAAGCGGTGGCGACTCGTCAACGCCTCAAGAGCATTGGGAGGGAGCTGAGAGTTCGAAAACGAGTTCGAATGGGGAAAGACAAGGAATGGTGATCTCAGATGCAGGTGCACTTTCTATGGCATTCCCGACGTTTGACTCCGGGACATATGGTGTTATCGAAGCTGCCTGAGGGTCGCGATCGTTGAAGGAGTCTTCCCACAAGCTGAAGTCATTATGCTCTGAGAGTAACGGATCTTCAGCCCCGAGGCGAAATGCCCGTATCAGTTCTTTTCCCATAGTGGAAATGGTAGACCATCTCAAGCCAAAGTTGAAAGAAACAGCTCTCCTTTCACCAGGATATCAAACGAAATATCCGTGCCAGGACTGCCTCAGAAGTGGCAATGATAGATGAGAACAAGAAACTGGGGAACGAGTGCGGGAATGTTTATATGTGCATTATGTGCATGCATGTGTTCGAGCAAGTTAGACATGTAAACGAGCCTATCGTTCTCGGGTGCATATTATTCTGAGGCAGTGTCCCTGGCAAGAATACAACATTACCTCGCAATTGGACGCCGACAACGTCATTCGGGAGATGCATCAGGACCTCAGTCTGTTATTGGCGCCTAATGAGGCGGTTGGGCGAACCCTAATACGTTAAGGTTGCGTGAGCCTGATTTGTGATTCATCTTCCACATTTTGGGCCAATAAGATGTGCCTGGCCTCCAACAGGAAGCTTAGGCACATGACTGGATGATATGACGACTGGATGTTGGGCGCGAAACGAGCAGATGCAATATGAATCACCAATATAACATGAGACCTTTGAAGATCGTTGAACCTCGCTTTAACTGATCTCACCGCCTCCTCTGTCCCAACCCTCAATTCTTTTCAGGGAGAAATGGATTCACCATTTGCCTGGCCCTCCAATCAGATTGGGCTCGCAGTGACGTCCACAGAAACGGCCGATACTTTGACGAAGTCACATGCGTCTCTCGTCGGCGCACCTGCCAATGTCTTAGGCGCGGCTCACAATCGGTTCGTGGTTGTATCGACGCTGCTTTCGCTGATTGATCGGGTGCGTGGTGAGCCGACAACCCACAGTCTTGACCGGCATCCCCACGACGATTCTTGGAAGCATGAGCAGCTTCAGAAGAAATTTCTCGATTCTTTTGCTTTGATCTCATCGACTTCGAGAGTTGGGCGCGAGACTGCAGCAGCTGTATGCTTGGAGCAGGGCCATCCAAGCGGGACGGTCTTGCGACTTGCCCGAAATCTTGGTGTTCCTAGTAGCTTGATCATACACCTGCAGGAAATTCTAGACGATCTGACTGCTGTTGCCCTGAAAGGTACTATTATCAAAATGCTGTGCAGAAGCGGGACAAAGTGCTGACTTGAACCAATTGCTAGAGAGGAGATCAAAAGACGTCGAGACTAAGATACTGCTCAAAGTCATCAACCTCACCCAAGACAAAATCTGGTCGCTTCTAGAGCAGCTCAGTGATGAAGACGTTCGGGCAGCTGTCGAACGATCCATTAGCGAGATGGATGAGGATGATCTTGAATCGGGCGACGCCGAGGAAATAGGCTTCAGACAATGGGTCCTCAAGCTGCGTCTACTGACAACTCTCGACCCTAAATCGGATCCTTCTCAACTCATTATGCACATCAAGTGGGCATCAAAGGCCAGATGGACCTACTCAGAACAGCTTGAGTCCTTTTTTGGAACAGAAAAAGAAGAGTTGCCCGAATGGCTCCAGCATATATACAAATTAGGACGGTACTACGTGGCAACGAAGGCGATGCTCAAACTAGCCTCGAAACAGCCAGATGTGTTTACATCCATTCATGTGGAGCCTGTCGAAGCTCCCGAACAAGTCAAATTCACGCTGGGAAACCAGCGAGATCCTCTCCTGACGGTGTTGAAAAAGATTACGACCGCTGACCCAGTGGAACTCAGGGATAAATTGGGTCAAACTTGGTTCACAGCTGATCCCGAGAAAAAGCTACGACAGGCCTGTCATATGACTCTAACCGTACATGCCGAAATGCAGCTTCTCAGCTTTTACGATCACCACCCCCACCTTACGCCACGACTGCTATTCATGGGCACAAGCAAGAAAGCATGCTACTTATGTCACGAGTTCATATCTCGCCATCCGCTCACGATCGGCGTATCGGCAAGCCATCAGAAACTCTACCCGACGTGGCTTCCTGCCCCATGCTCCTCGGCTGTGCGAAAGAAGCATAAGGCACTTCTTTGGGAGTTCAGTAGACATCTTGAGCAAACAACTGCCCGCGACCTCGAAACCAGACTAGGAATCCGGAGGCCGATATCCAAGGATTCAACTGCCGGTCCTTCACTCACAACTAGTTGGACGGATTCTATTGGCTCTTGGACCCAAGAGTTGTCTCTACGAGGTCCTCGGCGATTCAGTGTAGACACAGCAGAAGTTTCAGAGAGGTGTAGCACAGATTGATCATTTCGAATACCGTATTACATGTTCTCGTATGGATAGTTCGATGTCTCATCACATCATCAATCACAATATCGAAAGATGTAGTCTAAGCCAAATCTAATAGTGGTGCTGAATGTTTAAGATAAGATGTCAGAACAAATATGTCCTCCATGACATTCAAGTCAGAATTTGTCGAAACAATGGGATTCTTCTTCTAACTCCATTTCCTTCGTCCTTTTTATTCTCCCTACTGAGAGCCGTTCTTAGTAGCAAAGACTTGAGTTGACTTGGGTCTTTGTACTTTTCTGAAAGAGTTGTGCTGTTTGAGCGGATAGTTCTAACTTCTAACTAATCAGGCGGAGAACTACCTATTCCTCCCCATAGCCCCTATTCATCTTCCTTTCACGATCCGTATCGTCGTTGTTATTGTCGTCGTCCCTGTTGTCGTCCAGGCCCACTACCCGTCCGGCTATCAGAATTCTACCAAAGTACCTCGATGCTGGAATATCAATGATGGATCTCATCAAAGACCTTGATGTCCTAAGACACTTGGCAGGTGGACATGGAGAAACTTCGCAATGACAGATGAAGTATTTTGTTGTAATAAATTGGGTATCGATCAGAGTAAGACTATACTGTTACTGCAGAATGCAACTGATCCAAGATAAAACACGAAAGAACATACGGCATCCAAAAGCTCTAACTCACTCAATTTGAAGGGCTTCCGAGGCGCTCGTCTAAACGATTACCTACAGGCTACGCAGGTGTTGGGAACCGTGAGAGTTACAAGAAAATGTTTGCTGTGAAAGTTTCCGCCCAGCATTTATCATATCAAACACCCAAAACATTGCAAATGTTGGCAACACGTAGCCACGATGTCATGTTTGCTTGACGGGCTTCCATTTTGGGGGAGTCTTCTGCACTCTCTTGGCTCTCTGTCGCCCCATCCTCTTGCAAAAATCGACACGACAAAATTTCGGCAGTTGGGGAAGATGTCATCAAACGCGTGGAAGAAATCTCGAAAAGCTTCAGGCCAATGTCCAAGACAGACCAAGAGAAGACGGCGGGCTTCTTCACGTATTCCACAAACATCTTCCGGAAGATGGGAAACTAGTTTTGATGAAAGACATGATCACCATCGGCCAGATGATGAGAGAGTCCGAGAACTTGCCCAACATCTACGGAACGCTATCTTGAAACCAGGTGAGCCTGGCTGCATGCAATCTGCTATCTAGTGAATCTATCGCCTGAGATATGAGGACTGATGGCAGAGGGCTATAGGCTACGCGCGTAGAGCGAGGTATGAGATACGTGCGCTGTGGGCAGCTAATCACAAGTACAGACGCCATCGGTACCTGATCATTTCAGAAGTTCCTTCTAGCTAATCAGATCGCTAAGTCTCGGTCCAGAGAGGGAGACTTCGGGGGAGTTTTCAGGGTGGGAAATCATGCACGTTTACCCGGCGTGCTAGCATGTTCTCAATATCCTTTCTCAGCAGAATTTCATGTGTTCATTGTCAGATTAAGCCCTGTTTAGCACAACACACTTCCCAACCCCAGGGGCTATAGAAGTGATGTCGTCAGGGTCCCTGGTGTCACCATTGATCATAATCTTGTTACAATGCCACGCATGCTCAGGATCCACACATCTGTAGTACACGCCGACGTCCTTTTCCCCACGATCCAGTCGATGCATCGCACTTACAGTAAGCCGCCAAAGGTGCAAGCAGTGAGCCCTATGAAATTCCCATGCAACGTAGAAGTCAACTTCATCGTTCTCGATGTTTTCAAACGCAGTTAGCATGACGTCTTCCAATGTTGCTCGGCGGGTCATTGCCGCGTCCCAAAACAACGGAAACGTAGTACGCCCTGCTGCCGCGGGGTACAGATCGGTGAAATTTGACTCGGACTTCTCCGCAACGGCGCGATCATAACAAGTCGGTGGCAGCCATACACTTACATGTCATTAGCCGCAGTTCAGTCTCCAGACAGGATCAAGACAGTATGACGGGCGGTGCTGTCAGCAAACAATGACGTACTTAACATACACGTCGAAGACACACCCTAGTGACCGGGCTTCTGCGGGTGATTTACCGCAATTGACGTTCGTTTCATTAAAAAGACTTGGGAGGATCTGGTTCTGAGGATTCCATCTGGAACCAAGTTGCACAAAGTGAATAACATAAAGACTGAGAATGATAGTAACTGCAAGTGGGCAGAGAAGTCGGCAAGTTGCTAATTGGTGCATCTTGATGGGGGTTGAGTACAAGGGTTTGCGCGCAACCAAGGGCTCATCATGTTGGGCGGATTCAGAGGAGGGTCTGCGACTTGGAAGAAGCGTGTCTCTGGTAGTGGTGATGTTGTTCTGCATGCTGCGTTGTGTTATTATTACTAAAACCAGAAAATTTGGTACGATCCAGATGAGCAGACTCCTGTGCACAGCGTCCTTGGAGCAAGGGATAGTATTCGTTTATTAAAATCAGGTCAAAACATCTAATTGCAGCACACAGCAAAAGCTGTAGTGATGACAAATGCGCTGTTGTTATCTCCTGTTCTGCATGATACAGTTACTTCAGCTGATACTTTAACTAGTTAGGCCGTGAAGCCTTGTTTCACTGCCCTAGCTAGGTTGGCAAGCGCTAATTCAGATTTATAAAGCTTCTGGATAATGGAAAATTAACTTAAAGGCAACCAGCCCATTCGGCTAGATTAGGGACTAGATCCTTAGCTGGCTGACTCAGGGCAAGCCAACTATTATACTTATAATCAGACGCTATAGACCCCTACATCCAGCATGGTTTTGGTAATCACTGCTATAGCTGGGCTTCTGTCACAGACACTTTTAACGCGAGCGATCCTCCTAATATCTTAAGTGAATAAAGAAGTGATAGACGAAACTGGACATTTCCAGAAGATGCCTGTTCCCTTAGATTTAAGCTAGTCTCTGTATCACTTAGTTGTAGCAATCCTTCATTATTACGCCACAGCCCGGCTGGAACGAAACGTGGAGACATAGAAATCCCCGAGCCTTTCTAGATGAATGAGAATTTACTGGAGGAGAGGACCACAAAAGGAAACTCCCGAAATTCCATTCCATGCTAATGCTACCTCCAACTATTATTAGTCTGATGATTGTGAAACAGCGCGGTAAATAGCTTCGGGTTATTTCGCAATGTGGACTTGATCACATCAATCGTTCACAAGTAAGTCTGGATGCGCACACGCTGTGATGAGTTACTTGTCACATTAAGCCTTAAAGGTTGCTGCGAGTTGATTGCCTATTAATTTGAATACTAAACTAATCCCGCTTGGTTAACTTACCTTCTGGGAAGCGACGTTAAAGCGAATGACCAAAGCTAACCAAAAGTAGCTAAACAGAACTTGAATTCATTGAGAACAAACGTATACGACTTTCCCCCCACGATTAAACAAAGCAAGAAGTATCGTAGTTCAGCGCTGACGCGCGTTCATTTCTCCGGCGAGCAAAGCAAAAGGCATTGAAGCTTTTGGGCGCAGTCCAATGGTGCTTCAACTGAAGACACCACTAGACCTCCGTCTGATATTTCGGCAGTTGATATGCCGCGTCATTTTGATGTGCTTCCTAACTCCGCAAGCCACATATCAGACGAGGATGCAGATGTGGCTCAACATTTCTGGTAGAATTAATGTAATAAGTATACGATCTTCACCCTTGACCATTCAAAACGATGCAGATGGCTTGAATGAGCACTGCAGTTCTAACGATTTGTGACCAGAATCACACCAGCTCAAGACGTAACGTCCAGCTATAGAGTACAAGAGGCAGTGGCAATCTACTCCATTCACACTTAACGACACGTTCCCACCTGATGACATCTTCACACTTGATGAGGTTGGCTTTTCGAAGGCTCTGAACCTTCTCAATCCACCTGCGCTGAACACCCTCGCTCTGGGAGTAGGGGATGCCTGACAAAAATGTCGAATTAATTCACGTAGCGAGGAGAATGAAGACATATGGATGTTGATCAACATTCATTCGCTGGAATTTTAGGGTAAGGAGTGACACAGATATATTGAGCGTCGAAGACACTCCTGTCGGTATGAGTTGATAGCGACAGGGGTTAAACCTCCAATTCGTGTCGTTCACGCACTTGCTTGGAGCATCAGTGCTACATGGCTTCGTCCAGGATTTCGTCAGTCTTTGCAATAGTTCGAGGTCGCTGAATGCCCCTAGCGTACGTCCTGTCAGCGCAAATTTTTCGTCGTCTGCCCCACGCCTGCCATTCTTTCGATTGGGCCGTGTTCGTTGGGGACGTCGGTGAGCTTCCATGATGGGATCTCCTCGCCCACGTCCTCCTCCCCCCATTCCCCCGCCCATACCCCCGAACATTCCCATCATGAGAGGTGTGAGAATCAAATTTGGCGGAGTCTCCAAAGTTGCCGCCCCCCATCACACCGCCGTGGACAATAATTGGATGCTGACCCGCCATAGGGGGAGTTGGGGGTCCGCAGTCACTGCACATCCCGTTTGCGCGAGAGCTGCCGAGGGGAGTAAACAAAGGATAAGGGCGAGCATTTCGAAATGCAATCCCTGTGTAATGGTCATAGACGTCAGTGGCGGTAATTTAATGTAGCAGTAGGTGCAATACTTCTTGTTCATAACGCCAATCAAACCAACCGCTGTGTATAGCTAGAAAACCTTGCTAGATCGACTTACCTGTGGTTGAGTACGGACATTATCTTTGATCGTCATGGACTTGTTTAGGAAGTTGCTTGTTCAGTGTTTATTTGGAAACTTTCCCTATTAAGTCATCCAATTTGGGAAAGCCATATTAATCTTTACCTTTTATTGCCGCTGAAAGTATACACCCGAAGAAAATGCCCGATTATCGTAAATTCAACTTGGTCAAGTTTGAAGCAAACTTTAGTGAGTAGGTTCCGCTTAAGTTCGCTGCTACAGTTCGGTAATCGTTATACCTCAGCTTAGCTTAGCCACTCTTTCTCAACTTTCCCTGAATTGAATACCTCGCGAGGTCATTTATTCATATATCTTACAGCATGAGTGTGTGATGTGAACAGTTCTACCGTCTCTTCGACCGGCTCTACACTTAAGTAAGCGTTATTAAATCGGACCACAAATTGACTCGCTACCATTTAGGCAAAGATCACATTACAGCATAACGCAACACACCTTTCCACAATGTTTTGCAGCAAAGTAGCTGTTGCATTCATTTGGGCTGGACGAGTGTGGTGCAGTGGCAAACCAGCTATCTACGCTTCAGTCTGTGGGAGTACGCCCCACAAACTAGTGACAACCAGCAACGACGTGTCGTTATGCCCTCTTTCTCATGACGAAACCCATTTGGATCTTCCCATCTTGCCGCACAACAACTCGTCTCCTCGCCAATCTGCCTGCACCTGGTCAGACGATCGTGAAAAGGAATACTGCCTTTTTGCAGACACGCACTTCAATCATGGGAAAGGCATATCCATGATAACCACACCTGAGCGCGCTCGACAAGTTTTTGCTTCCATTAAGTCTCTACCCAACTATCATAGCGTGGTGTCCGGGCCGTTGTTCGAAACAAGAGCCAGCGGGAGAAAGGGACGTGGCATATTTGCGACTAAGCATATACCTGCGGGCAGTCTCATTATCCAAGAGCCACCGATTCTTTTCTTAGACCGTAACTGGATGAAGGCCGTCTCTTCCGAAGACACTCGTACGGCTATCCAAACATTAGCTGTCGAGGAGTTGCCAGGGACCACACGTCAGATCTTCTACGAACTCTACGCTGGACCGTTTGAGGAGAACTTGATGCAAAGAATGTGGACAAATGGCTATGGTGTTGCTGGTGGGCCTACGTTGAGCTGGCCAGGCTTGGATGATGAATCAGACCTTGGGATGATAGCAATACATGCTAACATATCTGTGAGTCTACCGCGCGTTGGATATTCATATAACCTCTCTTTAGCTCACATTATAGCAGAAAATCAACCACAGCTGTCGACCAAACGCAGCGTCTCAATGGGACTGGGATGTGCTTGCGCATAGGTTATATGCGGCTCGTGATATTGCTGCCGACGAAGAAATCACTATATCTTATATCAATCCTGTTCAGAGTTACAAGGATCGGCAAGAGTACGCGGAAAATGTTCTCGGCTTCAAGTGCGAGTGTAGCCAATGCCAGGCTATGAGCAAATTTCGTGACTTGTCCAACGATCGCATTAACGAAATTCTATTATTAGAGAGTTACTTAGAGAGTCGAAGCATAGCGCCAGCTGAGCCAACAGCTATGGCCGAATTGCTAGTAAGTCTCTATAAGCAGGAGGGTTTAGATACATTTATCTGCAAAGCGTACGCAATTGCAGCGCGCGAGTGGAACGGCGCTGGATACGAATATCAAGCCCGTGAGAGGGCATATGAAAGCGTGAAGGCTGGCCTGATTGCTGGCTCGGGGACAGGCCTGGATGATTATGTTAATGAGATGGAAGACTTATTGGATGGGGCAAGAAAGCATTGGTCTTGGAGATATCGCTTGCACTCTTAGGAGGCAATCGTTTTATTTACACAGTCTGACTTCGCGTAACCTTGAGACCTTTGTGATGCTGGGCTGACGACAGCGGTAAGAAGCACTACGACCCTAGTGATTGATCATCTGACAAAACTCTGCGTCTAGCTTGAGGATGGTGAGCGGATTGAAAGCCACACTATTGTCTCGAACCATGCCAAGATAGTGTTTATAATGTTCCTGGAACAGAATGTTACGTTCTACGCGAGCAAAGGAGCCTTCTTTGCGAGACTCCCCGGCCGACACCAGAATTTCGAACGATTTCGGACGACACCAACAAGTGCTTTGCCAATTCCTCAACGACAGAGACATGAGGCCTTTCGTGTACTGGCTCAACGGAGGAAATTTACAGCGAGAGACAGTGGCTCCGTTGGCCAAACCACGGCCACCATGGTCGCTGATACTTTCGTCATTTCCACCACCGTGGGTGCCGTCGCCGTTGGTTCTGTCACTTGTAGCATCATAATCGTAGCTGTAACTGCTACAGGTTTCATCGCCGTCCTCGGGGATCCGTATCCAGTGAGGTTCCCTTCTCATAATGTTTTTTTACTTCAAAGTCGATGCTCCCTTCGCCGCACTTCCAGAGGAGTTCCGTGTCATCGCACCCAAGTACTCCCACCACATAGAATAGTGGCGGTCGCTCCTGCGGCTTGCGAATAGACTTGAGAACCAAACTCAGATCCGCGGCCGACTTGCAGGCTCTTTCTCTGCAGATCAGGTCATTTGATCGGGCGCGCTCTGAAGCAGCGCCTGGGACATCCCAGACCCGGATGTAGGCGTACCGATCATGCCCTCTGGTTCGTGCCTACTTCTAGTGGAAAAAACCTGATACTGCTTCTTGTAGTGCTGAGATGAACCGGCGCCATATGACACAAGCGCATAATCCCACAAAGCCGAGCCAAAGTAGAATCCACATATGCTCACGACAGAGCAGGTATAAGGGTACAGAGTCCACTTTGAAGGGGTTCACAGACAAGGCTGCGAGAGGGAATGGCTGGCGTACATAAAATATTCGGAGAGATCAGCGCTGAATGTATGTGGCTACTTCCGAGGCCATTCACTTGCGACGAGTAGCCAGCCCCCTTACAGAATTTCCCTCTTGTATACTCAAAATGAGTGTTCAGCTCACGATTATGACATCTTGGTCGTAAGAATATTTCTCATCTTCAGTTGATTAAGACGTTCGTTTTGGTTAGATTAGGTGAGCCGCACGACCGGGTTACAGGATCATGTCGTTTCGATTGACAGCTTATCTTGTGATGAGCGAGATAGCAGGTTGTTTTTCACTCCAGTCGTTGAATCGGCGGTCAAGCGATGCTGCTACAAGTCAGTGTAATATCAACAGAGGACCCTTTGCGCAACTTTATCGCCAGCCAGGAGGGAGCGTTGTCCCTTTGGCTACTCATTGCACAAACACCAACGAAACCTCACGATACGAATCGCACCACACTGTCAACAACCATCCAATTTTACATAGTAATACAAGTGTATTCATCATCATGTCCAAGGGACAGCCCAAGTCCAGTCCTCAGCGCTATGCATCGCAACCAAATCCAGCTGCCTCCATCCCAAGAAGGCCAGTAAACCCAAGAGCCCGCAATGCCATGCTAACGCAGTATCAACTTCTCACACCTTTCTTTTCAACCCCTCTCTCTCTCTCAAGTCTCGGTCTCCATCTCCAAGTCCGGATCAACCTCCGTCCCCAAATCCCTATCCTCCAAGAACCGCCTCCCCAGCAGCTCCTCAGGCAGATACTCCTGCCTCACCCGCCCCTCCCTATAGTTCGGCGGGTACTTGTACTCCGCCCCGTACCCCATCTCCCTCATCAACCGCGTCGGCGCGTTCCTCAAATGCAACGGCACAGGCAACGCCGCCACGCCGGGCTCCCTCAGCGCCGCGTACGCATTATTCAGCCCGCGGTACGCCCTCGTGCTCTTCGGCGCAAGGCTCAGCGCCACCGCGCAGTGCGCCAGCGGTATCCTCGCCTCAGGCATGCCAATCTGCTGCGCGGCAGTGTACGCCGCCGTTGCGAGCGGGAGCAGCGTGTTGTCCGCGAGCCCGACGTCCTCCGACGCGATCACGACCATGCGCCGCGCCACGAACAGCGGGTCCTCGCCCGACTGCAGCATCCGCGCGAGGTAGTACAGCGCCGCGTCCGGGTCGTTCCCCCGCACCGCCTTGTGGAACGCCGAGATGGTGTCGTAGTGCTGGTCGCCCGCGCGGTCGTACACCAGCGTCTTGGTCAGCGACGCCTTGATGTCCTCCTTCGTGATCCCCGGCCGGTTGCAGATCGACAGCGCGAGCTCGAGCAGGTTCAGCGCCGTGCGTGCGTCCCCGTCCGCGAAGGCCGCGAGGTAGGTCACCAGCTCCGCGTCGATCAGCGGGCTCGGCAACCCCCCTGCCCCCTTCGCATTCTCCTCCTCGATCGCCCGCATCAGGATCCCCGCCACGTCCTCCCGTGTCAGCTTGCTCAGCGTGAACGTCCGGCACCGCGAGAGCAGCGCCGCCTGCACCCTGAAGCTCGGGTTCTCCGTCGTGGCGCCGATGAGAGTAATGGTGCCCGACTCGACGGGGTGCAGGAACACGTCCTGCTGCGCCTTGGAGAAGCGGTGGATCTCGTCGCAGAAGATAATGGTCTTGCGCCCCGTGAGCGCGCGCTCGTTGGCCGCCTCGGCGAAGTACTTCTTGCACTCGCCCACGCCGGAGCTCGTCGCGTTGAGCTCGATGAAGCGCGACCCGACGCTGTGCGCGATGCACCGCGCGATCGTCGTCTTGCCCGTCCCGGACCCGCCCCAGAGAATCATGCTCGGTACGCGGTCCGACTCGATGAGGCTGCGCAGCACGCCATTCGGGCCGACCAGGTCCTGGCCGCAGACGTCGTCGAGCGTCTTGGGCCGCATGCGTTCCGCCAGGGGTGCGGCTCGCGCCGTCTTGGTGCGCTTTGTGGCCGGGCCCGTCTCGGGAGGCGCCATTTCCTTGTCGTCCTGCTCCGCGACTACCGTGCTGCCGCCGAAGGAGGGGGAAGGTACGGCGCCCGGGCCGTCGTCGAAGCTGCGCTTCACGCCTGCGGTGCGTGCGATGCCGCCGTTCGCGTTGGCGGGCGTGGTGAGGACTTTTGTCGGGGGCGCATGGCGTTTGGCGGCGGGGGTTGAGAAGAAGCTCGACGCGGGGCGTTTGGCCTGCGAGGCGGAGGGAAGGGTCGTCTGCGTGCCGTTGGGAGCTTGGGTCGCTGTCGGGGAGGTGGTGCGGTCGGGGTTGAAGATGTGGGAGGCGCAGCCGGAGTCGATGTGGGAGTTGATGAGGGTCTCCTTGACTGGCTTGTTGCAGATGGGGCAGTCTACGGCTGCCATTTTGATGGAGCTATTGCGGTTCGACGCATGCGAAGACGGGGAAGCAATTGGGTTGGTGGATAGTGAAGCGAGCGTGGTGTTGCGACAGCGAATGTGGTTGATTCTTTCTTTGGAGGTGCAGATGGCCAAACGAGTGCAAATGGTAGACGCGCTCTGGGGAATTTTCCCGCGATGACGCGCCTTAATTGAGTTGCAGCTGTGGGAGCTCTCGCAAATTCTAGTGGGGCCGGCACGTCTCGCTCCGCAACAGCCGACTGTGACCCGCCGGGACCCTGGGCAGGCGCCAGGTGCCTTGTCGCTCAGAACCGGCTGTTCTTTTGGAAGGTGTGGGGAGGAGGATGGATCGGTGCCGGCACTCGGATTCGGAGATACACTGTGCCATCCGTCTGCCCGCCCCCGATGGGACGAACGCCCCGGGAATGATCTCATCGAGGGGGGGATGGAACCGATGCACCGCCACTACAGCCTTTGCAATCGCCTGCCAGCGAAGGTATTGAGAGAAAATAGTTGATTCTCGCCTAGACTCGCAGTCCAGGTCTTTTCGTAGGTATCATTACACCTAGTAAACGCCTCCCAATGCCGTCCAGTGACCTCAAGTCCCAATTTGATGCTCTGATCGAACGTGATGTACACGACGCTGCAGCATATGTACAATGCCAATGCCGTCCACCGACTAGTCTCTGTCTATGGAAAAAGACCGCGGCGCTGAATGAATTGTATATCCCATGCAGCAAATCTACATTGCCCCCCAGCCATTAAGCTCATCATACCATGAACGACTCGCCGCAGCCGCATTGCTCCTCTGTGCATCCTGTCAGCCAATGCTCACTCGCCTCTATTCCCCGGCCATAGCTCAAGGGAACGCATCAAAGGGTGTTACTCACTGATGTTCGGGTTCTTAAACACAAACCTCTGGCTCAACTTGTCCTCGACCCAGTCCATCTCGCTGCCAATGATGCTGAACAGCGCCTTGCTGTCAATCAGCACCTTGACGCCGTCCTGCACCACCTCCTCGTCGAAGCTGCCGGGCTTCTCCACGAACTCGAGGTGGTACGCCAGCCCCGAGCACCCGCGGTTGCGCACGCCGACCTTGATCAGCTTCGGCTCCGGCTGGTCCAGCAGCGCGCGCAGCTGCTCCACCGCCGCGGGCGTCAGCTTCATCGCCGCCTTGCGCGCGCGCAGCTTCGAGCGCGGGCGGGTCGGCTTCGTGGCCGGCGTCGTTGAGGTTGTCTTTGCGGCTGCTGTTGGTGTTGGCTCGGCTGCGGAGGGCTTTGTGGGTGTCGTTGAAGGGGTGGTAGCTTGCTGCTGCGGTGTGGCGAGCTGCGAGATCTTGGGCGGCCTCGTCTCGTTGACCTTCGGGAGGGGATCCGGCTGCGCGATCGAGCCCTCTGCGCCGTCGGCACGCGGTGGCGGGGGCGTGGTGTTGGGGTAGAGCGGGTAGGACTGGAAGGACGGGCTGCCGTAGGCTCGGCGGCCGGCGACGCAGGGCGAGTAGGCGCATTGCATCGCGGTGCAGGAGCGGCGGAACGCCAGGCGGGTGAGTATCCTCGGGGCGTTCATCGTGGGAATCTGGATGTGAGGTTGGGTGGGTTGGTTGGTTTGTTTGCGCAAATAACCGGTTCTGGCGGT